CTGCAGGACCATGGCTGGCTGCATCCTTCCTTCAAGGAATGATAAGCCAGATAAAACATAGAGGGGAAAAGGGGAAAAATTCAGAGGAAGAAAACAAATCCATTACTATTCAAGATGATCCAATGCTGGCAGGGAGAGGGATTTATCTATTTTCCTTTTTTGCCTAAACAATGCCCAAGTATTTCATAGGGGCACCCTGGATTCCTGCACACATTACATGATCTTCATGCTGCCCTTTCCCTTCTGCACTGGAGCACTGTGCAATAAGCCAATGACAGCCACATTATTAACACTTCTGATGGAAAGTTCTCTCCATTATTTCAATTGTATTTCCCACTTCATTTTTCATGTTATCCTTAAAGCAACCATAGGTATTCTACTCAGGATTTGCTTCTTACATTCTGGTTCTGTCATATTTACCCTCCACTTTAGTTAACTACCACAAGCTGTTGCTGTTGTGAGCAACAGATGGATTTGGACTTGTCTTAATTTGAATATTAAACCTAAGCTTAACCCTGACCCTAAGCTTACTGTCTTTGCATGGGTGCCTAGTGAACTATCTAGTAGCTGTGAACAGTAATTATTGACACAGTTTAATATTTCTCTTATGTTTAGTGCTTTTTCTACTCAGCACCACACAAACAATTGATACAGAAGTTTCAGCCTCAAATAGCAGTTAGGGTAATATGGTTAAAACCCTGCAAACTACTATGAAAAGACCACGATTAACCTTGCCAAATTTCAGACCAGAGCCAAATTTATTGGGGAGCTTTTTTTATAAACCAGTTAAATACAGTGAGTAAAAATAGTGTTTAGAGTGGAAGTGCTGACAAAACCTTTACTGCAGCAGCGTGGACAATTCAGCTGTAATAATGGCAAGTGTGCCCTTATCACAGCAAGAAAAATGTAAGGAGTCCTGAATTTGCAGTGAATGAGCCATTACTTATGTCTATCACAAAGAAACAAGACTACTGAACAAAAAAAAAGATACATTAAGGGTTGGATTTTTTTTCCCCAAAAGAAAACTAAAAATAAAAAAGATCAGATGTGACTCAGGCTTTCAAACAATAAAAATAGCAAGATAAAAGAAGTAGGTTGCTTCATTGCCTAAAGAAATGGCTAGAATCTTAAAAAGTCTGAAACCTGATTGTGAGAGACTCACTTTATGGGCTGCTAAGGAGGTGCTGACCTTCATCATCAATAGATTGTCTGAGCCTTTGTGGTATTCAGCAGTAAAGGAAGTGCTTAAAAAGTCATCCTGCTGAAAGATGGACTGGAAAAATCTCCAGTTCAGATCTCAGCATAGCTGTTGTCAGAGCACATGCTCATTCAGAATGTCTGACTGTAAATCTAATTCAGATAAATCTTCCTTCATTTTTAAGTGATAAAACGGGACCATCCTCACCTTTAGAGATGGATCAGGATATCTGGAATTTAATATAAGTTAAATTATTACAGAGGAAGGCAGCTAACGACCTGTCTGTTGTGGGGCTTTGGATGTGTTTTGTTAGAGCACTGGATCTCTCTGTCCTAGAGGACACTGGAGGAGTAGGACAACACGAGCACCAGTGGTGCCATTTCCCTGCTCCTGCTCCAGTTTCAGGCGCAGTTTTTCCCGTTCCAACAGTTGGTCTGAAATGGACTGTGGCAGATGTGATTTCAAACAGCCTTTTGGGAGAAAAGGGCTTAGATGAAAGACTTCAGCTCCCTTAACTTTCTGGAGAAGTCCCATCCTTGCCTAAGCACTACACCAGCGTGAGAGCTGCCACACACCTTCGAGCAGGGGGAGTTAGCCATGCAGGGCTATGGGGCAGCACAGCTGTGGGGGTGACAATGGGAAATCTTTGCACAAAATGCTCGTGTGCTGCAGACACAGTCATGCTGGGGGTGAAAAATGCTGTGATGCCATCCCCGAGGAGCCGTGCAGCATTGAACATCCACAGCACAGAGCACAAAACGCAGATGGGGCCCTGATGGCTGGAGCAGCCCAGGAGGCCCAGCCAGGCCACCCCGAGCGAGGCAGCTCCTGCTGCAGGGGAAGGGAAAACAAACCAAAGCAGTGGCAACAACACAACCTCTGCCAGTTCTGATCAGGGCTGGGGGAGGGAGAATTACTGCTCTCTCCAGATCTAGTGCCTGATTTGTCTCTGAGCTCTAGCAGGGCATTTTATGGGGTGCGTTCCAACTTGGATCATGGCTCTCCTTGGACTGCTGCCACATGGTTGGGGTAAGGAAGGTGTTTCAGAGTAAGGAACGTGTTTCAGAGTAAGGAACTTGTTTCAGAGTAAGAAATGTACTCAAAGTCCCCTTTTGGTTTCCCAGCCTCCCCAGACCTGCAAATCATGCCAGGGTATGATTCCAGAGGGAATCCCTCCTTCCATTTACTTCTTCCTCCACAGACTCAGCCGTGACAGGCAAGTGTGACCCTCAGAAACAGCAGCTTGTGTTGTCCACTGACAGCTTCCACCGAGGTTGGCAAAACAGACCTTTTTCTGCAGCACAGCCCCACAGAATTCATGTCCCAAAGAGCTGGTAACAGCAATGGAATGGTCCGGTTTCAAAGCAGCTTAATCCCCTCTGGGAACTACTGAAAGAAACTCCTCTCTCCTGTCACTCCACTCCAATCAATGCTGAAAGGTTCTGCCTTGCTGTATGTAGATTCAGGAAGAAAGCACTGCAGCCTTTGGTATTTAGAAAGGTTTTACTTCACATCTGCAAGGCCAGAAGCTTTTTTGGTTGAAATCAAAGTTTAAATTGGGAAGAAAAAAGGGCTCATCAAAGAACTGGCAAAGAATTTAACAACTAGGTGCCAGCTGAAATGCCAGTGTGATTTATCAGCAGGTTCTTCCCTAATCTGATGTGAGATAATAGGATAAGGTGTTGAAAGCAGAATCAAACCAGATACAGAACAAAAAGTGTAAGTAATAGGGCTCATAAAATTATGCACATAGTAAGTTTAAGTTATCTAGTAGGCAGGCCACTCTCCCCAAGAAGATTTTGTAAGATTGGGAAATTAACAGACAAAACCAGAAGATTTAAAAAGACAAATTATGTTATATTCCTTTTGCATACAGATATTTTTTCCATGTAATCCTCTCCATTTTGAGAGATGAGATTTCCTCAGTGATAGACCCAACAAAACACTTGTCTGTAGTAGCTGTGGTGCCAGGTTCATACATCTCTTAGCAAAGATTAACCCTCAGATTTGCAGAAAGCTGAATTTGCTTATCATAGATCAGGAAAATCATTCCTGAGAGCTCCCAAATTTAGAGTATTTTCCTTCTACTATGGCACTAAATTGTCATTAGATATATTCCCCTGCCTAGTGATTCATTAGAAGTATTTTATAGTAAACACTTCCAAAATAAAAACCAGACATTTTAACAAAAGCTTTGGGAAAATAGTTAACTGACAAAGATATTGATTTTCTAGAAGCTCTTCCCTGGACACGGGTTTGGGTTTTTTCATTGAGATGGTTAAAGTGAGGCTGCCTGATACAATGTGTGTCCATTGAACAGCCCAAAGTCCTGCTAATCAGCTGAATAACTAAGAATATAACAGGAACAGTGTAAATCCACTTGATACAGCAAAGTTCACTTCTCTGGTCCATCAGAGAAATGTCTGCAAGTCACCAAAGAGTCCTTGGTCTGTATTTCACAGTTTGTTCTCTTTTTTTTTTATTCTACAGTAAATTATTTTTATATTCAGTTTGGTCAAGCCAGTTTCCCATTCACAGTGGTATAATCTCCCCCTGAGATGCAGAGCTTTGCCTTTGGCAGCATTCTGGCAAGGAGGAAAGTCCACTGATTCTCCTCAAAAGGCTCCTCAGTGCTACGTGGGTGCTCAGAGGAAAACTCCTGCAAACTTATATCTGCTGCAGGCTCATTTTCCAAACTTCTGTCAGACCCTCAGTGAGGAGCCCACCCAGGAGGCTATGAAAGTCCTGTGCCCCCTCCAGGACAGGCTCATCCTGCAGGGGCCACATGTGACAGCTCTGTTGGCCTGACACGGCACTGAGATCAGCAGGGCTCATCCCCTTGATGCCTCAAGGAGCTGGAACTGAGGCTAGATGGAGTTCAGAGGAATATTCAGTTGATATTTATTGAAGTGGATATTTATTGAAGTGCCTTCAAAGGCCACACCCTGCCAGGACTGGAGCCACAGTCATGGCTCTGCCTGGATGGCTCCAAAATAGAACCAAAAGAGGGTTTGGTCATGAGATCTCACCATTTTATAAGTTTTAGTCTATTTGCATATGGGAGTGAACTGTCCAATTAATGGCTTCAAATTATGAAGTTCCGTTCTCCTTGCTTTTTTGCCCATCCTCCTCTTTTCACATTGCTCATGCTTTGGGCCTGAAGTTTGAAGAGATTGTCCTGGAGTCTCCAGCTAGAATAGGATTGTTTTGTCTTCACCACGCTGTGAATGATCCCAGTACCACTTAATATAAAGCTAAAGCTGCACACCAAAACAGAGCAGAAAAACTAGGTTTTAAGGGTTTTTTACCTTCAGCTGCGGCTGGAGTCTCCCTACTCTGCTGCACAGTCAAGATAAATCAGAATTTCCTAAATTGCCCAGTGCTGAAGCCAGGACTGGAAAATGCAGCTTCCAATCTTTGGGCTGCACTATGGTTTGTTTTAAAAAGGGATTGAATGTCTTACAAACAGGTAAAATTGCTGCCAGATTCAAGTACATTAGCCTTCTCCAGCTGCTTTACTGCTGCCATTCAAAATAGCTTGCTATAAATATGATTCCTTTGAGCTCTATTCTGACAAGTGCACAGCACTATCTGGGAAGGGCCCGTGGTTTTCCATCCCCACAGAACTCAATAGGGGTTGTGATTGCTCAGCACATCGCTGAAAAAAGTCTGCTGAAATTACCTTAAATCACACAATTATCCCCTCACCTATCCCTATTTTTCTTTCAGTCATGGAAGTAGGCAGGGAAATAGAAAGAAAGGCAACAAAAGAAATGCTGCAGACAGAGCAAACCCTGAACAGAAATCAGAAAACAATGAAAAACAAGCTAGGACAAAAGAAGAAACACCATTAGAGACTGGCAAGTGGATATTCCCAAGACCTCCACTTCATATTTCTGTGTCAAAACTAACGGGAATGGAAACAGAGTCAGTCTGAATTGATGAGGTGGACATTTCCCTTGGGTTTGCAAAGTTTGTGAGGATTGGTATCACACAAACAGCATGTCAACATTCCAAAAATCCTCCTCAGGACAGCACTTGGCAGCACATTGAGGAGCAGCTCCACAGGAGCCTCCGGGAAGGCAGCACTTGCTCCAAGCAGGAGCAGCAGCAGTGGCCAGGTTCCCTCAGCCCTGGAGGAACAGGGATAAACCAGCAGAATCACCCCAGCAAAGGGAATGCAAAGCAACAAAATCCATGTCAGCAAGGAGCACCCTCCTGGGATTCACAGGGTTCAATAAAAATCCTTAGATGCAATTGCGTGAGAAATCCCAAAATTTAGAGCAGTTCATAAACAGCAGAAGGAGGGGGGCACTGGGCTGAACCAAAAAAATCTCAGGTAATTTTTTTTCTCTAAGGTTCCTACGATATTTATGATAGGGGAAATCAAAAGGACACAAAGTGAAAATAAATGGTCTATTTTTTTAATCCCAGCTCTATCAGGGACAAACAATATCTCAATAGTCAGGGAAGTTCCCACTCTGCCCCAGCTGCCCACACAGCAGTGCATCAAATGTTTAATCCTTTAGTTAAACAAAAGTCCAGTTTAGCCTTTTTTTCTGCCTACAGTATTTCCATCATGCCCTCTGTTTCCCTTCTTCCTCTAAAACCAGAATATGGCTGCTGGATGGAAATCCTTTTCCTTCCCATAGCAAACAGCCCCCTTTGGATTCAGATGGCTTTGTCCTCAGCAGCCAAGAATCCAAAAGCTGGGGTTTTGTGGGAAAAGGTTTCTTGGTTTCCTGAGATACTAAAGAAATAATATGACTTTGGCAATGATCTTTGAAACTAATCTGTGATTTTCATGACTTTCTGCCTCTAAGTACTCAAACTTGAGCTGTCTCAAGCAGTTCTGTTCTTTGATAAGTAGTTATTTCTGAGCTCTCAAAAGCAGAGTCCTTTCCAGTTCCAGGCTGAGCCCCCTAAAGGAGGGATCTACACACCTTTGACTTTATTCAAAATCTCTTATCCATCCTGGAGTTTTATCAGTATAATATGAGAAGAAAGGAGTAAAAGAGTCCCTACCACTCTGGCAAGGTTGCAATTAATTTCACAGAAGGGAGGAAAGAGAAAGGAGGTGTAGGAAAGCCCAGCAGGTGGGTCACTGCTCCAGCCACCAGCCTCCTGTTTCCTGGAAGCCAGAGCCAGCAGCACTTACAGTAAAACTGATTGTTCAAAGTTGTATCATTATTCCCAGATTTCTCCAGTGCTGCTAATCTCAGTTAATTATATTGGAAATCCCTTGTATTATGACCATGTAATTCATAATGTGCCAGCAGAAGTCATGGTTCATAATAATCACATAATGGGCAAGGACTTAGACGTAATCAGATTTTAGTTACCCTGTCGTGTTTCCATAATGCTGCTATAAAACCAACATAATCACAAAAAAGTACCAGTTATTTAAACATTTTTATCAGATTGATGTACGGTATCTTTCTCTCCCTCTCCCTCTTTTTTAAACAATGTAAGATAACAAAAATTGGATTACAATTGCTGGGAACAGACTATGATAAACTGTTTGCTTGTGTGCAGCATGAAATTTAATAATGGCATCAGTGTCTCGATTTTTAGCAGTGTTAAACCTGTTAAATAGTAGCACTCTGCAGCCAAAGGCTGCTTTCAAAGAGGCAGCATTAGAGCATTGTGCAAACAATATCTCTAAGAGCTCAGCTGTCTTTTAAACCTTGAAAGATGCCCTATATCCTCACAATTAACCTGGCTGCTAACATTTACTGTGCAGATGAGGGCTTGACTTTTTCCACAAAACATGATGCAAAAAACCCCTTAGTAGCTGTAAGGATTTTTAAAGGCCAGTGTCTGCCTCTCAAATAAAATAAAACAGAAAAGAAAAGAAAAAGAAAAAAAAAAAAAAAAGAAAGAAAGAGACACTGTCTACTTTACAAGAATATGGCTAGTGATGAGAATAGAGAACTTGCAAGCTGCACTCTCTGGACTCTCTCTAATGTTTTATCTCCACTCTGACCCCAATCACTTCAGCTGTGCACTTGACATCCTCAAAAAGGGTCCAACTACACTTGTTTCAGCCCTGTACTGCCAAACTTAATTCAAAAGAATTTGTGAAATGTTAGAGGTTTTCAGCTAGCAAGCAAATATCCTATTTCTATTTTTTTTTCTTTACCATACTGAAGGCACTTCATTTTAAAGCAATAAATATTATAGCAGTGAGTAAGGTCAGCAAGTGTTGCCCTTTTTTCCCCCCCTTACACTAAGAAATGATCTGTGATGGGGACAAAAACAGTTGTCACTTGAGAAGAAAGAAGGACTTGACTCCTCCTAAGAGGAGATGAAAAGGTGGTGAGAGAATAGCTGGAGATTATAGAATTTCTCCTGGAATTGTGGACAGAGTGGTTGGGGAATCACAGAATTGTAGGGCTGGGGTTTCTCAGCAGTCTCTTAATCCAGCTCTCTTCTGAAGCAAAACACAGAACATCCCTGAAAGGCACTTCTGTACTGTTTCTAAAAACCTCCAGTGAGACAGACTTCTCTGTATCAGCAAGCTGATAGAGAGTTTCTCCCCATCTTTCATGCTGCAAAATAGCCCATGATGGTTTTGTATCCTTATTTGACATGAAGGGCAATTAGCCACCCTATTCTCTCTGCAACCTCTTAGCAGATCTCTTTTCAGTCTTCTCTGAATTAAATAAATTCAGTGCTCTTAGTATTTCCTCCCAGGCCATGTTTTCTAAACCTCTGTATTTTTGTTGGTTTACTTTTTATTGTCTCCAATTTGCTTCTTTGTTCAGACTGAGACAAATTGGAGACAGGGCAGAGAAAAGCAGCAAACTTGAGCTGCTGGATTGGAACTGTGGTTGTTTTGCTCAATGTTTTGTTAAGAAATAAACAAAAACTCCTCTGCATTTTGTGGGGGTGAAGAGACATATGACATGCAATAAACCCAAAGGTCAGGAAATTCAAAGTTGTGGTTGCTGGTGCAAAATATTTCCAGATATATTTCAGACTTAAGGAAATTAAGCATTTAGTCTGACATTGCAAAATTTTCAGTTAGACATCCTGATCCAGAAAAATGTATGCAAAGCATTTAATTTGAATAATATCCCTAAAGCAAGTGCTAACTTACATGTTACAAATATCATGCAGTTCTTGGCTCTTCTTTAAGCCAAAATGTCTTTCCTAGCTCAGTCTATGTATTCATGTCATATTATCATTCTTTAGATCATGTTGTTTTGCAAACACGCAAACAACAAGCATTTCTGAACAACTAGTACTAAAATTATTGGATTGGGGGGAAAAAAAGGCGAATTTATAAGAAATGAAAATAGAAATGCTTGTTTAATTTAGAGCTTTTATATGTTGGACAGCATGCTGCTGATTACCACTGACATCAGGAAGGCAGAGTTATCAGGAGAAGAATTGGTGGTTTCTCACTATTTCTGCACTATTTAGCTACCATTAAATTAATCAGGAGGGACTTAGTCAGCTTCATTAAAGTTGGCCTGAGAGAGGAAAAAATAATGCTCCCTTGGAGAACTCTCACTGTTAAGGCTTAAGAATTAAGTGCTTTCTGCTGCTGGTGAGGAAAATAACTGCAGAAATTGGGACATAGTCTTCACTCTTCTGTAATAGAGAACATTATAAATACACTACATTGAGAACATTGCAAATTTCCCTAAATTTTTGGCATCCATCTGTTGGAATATAGGGAAATAGGACTTGAACATCTGGACTGGGATGTGAAGGGTAGGAGAAATCACCCTCTAGCTTAAAACATCAGTGGAAACCATACAATATACGTATCTCTATAAGACCTCTAGACAATTATTAACAGATTAGATACAAAATAACATTAAACCTTTCCGAGGATCAAAAGATCTTGTCTCACACTAATCTCCTAATATCAGACAGCATAACAAACTTCAAAACCATCAGCCTGTTTAAAACCTGTCGAGATTTTTATTTCTGTTGTTCTGCAAATAATCCTGCCCTGTGATATCAAAATGAATGAGAAGAGGTTCCTGGCTGCTGTGCACAGGAGGAAGTCCACAGCACGTGTGCACACAGCTTTTGGTGTGGGATATCTGAGGCACGAAACACTTCCCATGTGTGAGCAAAGGCAGCCTGATGAATTCACCAGGGTGCTTTTGGGGAGATATTCCAGCCCATTCCACAGGCTGGAACATCTCCATTTCCCACAGATGGCTGTGTCAGGCACTGTTCCTGTGGCAGGAAAGGAGCCCCCGTGCCATCTCCTTTGCACACCTTGTGTGTTCAGATAACCTCTCCTGTAGCTCGTTGCCCTGCAATTCACAGGCTTTGTCCCGGCCACACGCCCTCTTCCAGGCAAAAACATCTTCCGAAAGCTAAAATCTGACAGTGGCTGTGGCACCAGAGCCTTGGGGACACCATTTCACACCTATACAGAGCGAGGCAGCGTGGTCCAACCAAGCCTTCCATCAACTTCCTAATGTGACAAGCAAAAAATGAGTATTTCTAGATAAATACCTACATGAATAGAAGTTCATCTCCAGGAGCCTGTCTGCTGCTGGGGCACATCAGAGAGGCACAGGCAGCTTTCCTGGCATCAGTGCTCAAGGGCAGCCCTGGGAGCACTGTAGGATTGAGGATTTTTGGATGTGCTGCCAGTTGGGGCAGGACGCAGCCACATTTCTCCCCACCCTCACCTCCTCCTGCAAGTAGGACAGAGTTTATTCCCTTCCTTTTGCAGCACACAGACTGCAATTCCTGGCCATCCACTAGGAAAAAAAGATAGAAAATGGGACTTTGTAGAGTTTCCCCTGTCCTCTCTCACTGATGGAGCTGTGCAATGACCAGACACAGCCCAACACCATGAAAATCCTCAATGGACAGCACATTAAAAGCTATAAATTTATTTTGAGAATCCACTTTCTGCAGCTAAAAATCAGGTTCAGAAATGATCTTATCATCAGC